TTCCAAGCTCAGAACTTAACCATGTAGCTTGTTTTAACCTTCCTGAGTTCTTCCTCCCTTCCCACATCTAAACTAAAGAAACACCTAAGTCCTCAGACTGAAAGAGCATGTCAGTCCCAGAGGGAATAAACCTTAAAAATAACTTCACACATAATGATATAAAAATAAAACTCCAGAGCACCAAGGTGAAAAGACAATCCTTCAAGGGACAACAACAGTCAGAGAGATTCCCCATAAATGATGAGATTCAGGTCAACAGAAGACTGTTTATCAACCACAGTGGTTTCAAGAAAACAATGTTCACAATTGCTTAGAAGGGCTGAGGAAAAATAAATTCAAATGTAAGAGTTCCAGATGAGCCAAACCAACATTCACACAGAGTTCAAAATGAATTCTCACTTAAGATATCAAGAAAATTTCTTCCTTGCTCTCAAATGGAGAAAAGAACGAGAATGTAAGAAAAACCTGTCAAAGGATGTACACCAGCAATAAGAAAAATGAACCCAAAAGGTAATAACAGGCTGTGAGCAGAAAGGAGAATGTAGTGTTTGGTCTTATTTTTATAATTAAGAAGTTCTCTGTTTCCAGAGGAGAAACAATTTAATTCTGCCTTTGCATTATATGATATTACTGCCTACAAAATGCGTTCGAATAGTCAGTAGCCAGAATGACAGGACGAACAAAAAGCTGACTTAAGAACAGAATTAGAAAAAGTATCAAATACAATAAAACTTGGAAATGCAATCCCTGAGTCTAGCCATATACTTTACTTCTTGCCGTGCAAGTTGGCTGCCTTCTAACAATGTGAGCAGGTCCGAAGAGGCTGGTGAGGATGAAATTTAACAGGCTGCCATTCTTAGTCTCCCTATCAAGACTAGATTATGGATTGTAGACAAGCAGGGGAATTGACATACAATCAATATTTCAGATCAGCTGATGTACTCAGAGGGGACTCAGAAGATCCTGGAGGACTTTTGTCGTCAGGGTATGCAGTAGCAGGGTATCCACTCTGCCCAGGAGGCCTTCTAATGAAAGATCTCAGGTTCCACAAAGGGTGCTGTTGAGAAACCCATGGTGCTTTTGCCTGTGTCCTATGCCATGAATTTAATGCTTGGAATCTCTCACTTGAACTTTTTTATGCCATCCCTAGTGCATAAAAGCAGCTGCCAAAAAGCAGACATTTTCCTGTCTCTAAAAATAAAATGCTGGCAACATTTCACGCCACCGTGCCAAAACCTGGCCCTTCCTAGGATAAACAATAGGTAGCTTAGCTCATCGGAGGCAAACACTGAGTCCTAAAGTCAGCCTGTGTGAGCTTGAAATGCCAAGGTCAGGGCATGCGCAGCTAAAAGCCAGCAGGCCAGAGGAGGCCCTCCCTCCTCCACAGCTGATGAAGGACAGCTGCTGCCCTAGCCTGGGGCCAGGTGTGGCTGAGAGAGGACAGCCTCAGGTTTCACCAGAGACCTTGGCCTGGCAGAGGTCACAGAGCCCCTACCAGGTCCTCCCCCAGAGCAACAGACCTGAAGGCCTGGATATCCCGGGCCAGGCAAGCTCCCTGGAAGAAGGCTTTTCCTGAGCATCTATTCCATTCATCTCTTAGCCATCATCACCACCTGTCAGAGCCCCTCTGGGGCAGCTTAAGGGCATTCACCTGCAAACACAGGCACGCCAAAACCACCTTGCTATAGGAATGCTAAAAGAGCAGTCAGTGTTCCCATCCTAACTGCCTCCCAATTTCTCACATACTTCCACAGCACGTATTCCAGCCCCTGTCCATTTTCACTGGGGTTCAAATCTTTCCTAGACTATAACCTTGGCTTTTGGCTGGTTTGGAGACTTAAGAGAGGTTAGAGGGGGCTAGGGGAGGAGCAAGCCTAAATATAGCAATTCTTTGCAGGCATAATCACTCCATAAACATGCTTCAGTGAAACAGAGCGGAGGGCTGACCCAGATGACGGATGTCACTCACCCCAGTGTCACATCATAAATAAAACTGAATGAGCCCATTCTCCTGCAAAACCAGAGTGATGCCAGGCTATAAATATGCATGAAGTCATCGTTCCTAAAAGACTTCATTTTTCCAGGTAAATAGCTTTAATGAAACAGTTAAGTAGAGCTCAATTATGGAATAATAACCATTGCTATGTGATACATATTCTACAGAAAGGAAAAGAAAGATAAGAAAAAGCCAGTCCTGGTTCCATGGGGCTCCTGTACGTGGAGATCTCATTTGTGCCAGGCCAGGTTCATTTTCATTCAAAAAGTGGGGCCCCCTGAGTGGGACCCAGACAGAAGACCATCATCAGTCCTGTCTGTTCCTCCAGGCCTGAGTAATGAAGAGAGCAGACAGATTCTTCTCACCCAAGTTCAGGCCAAGTTCCACCACCCCTGCTGGGCAAGATCAGCTCCTTAGCACTCAAAGGCTATCTCTTAGTAATTGAAAGAAAAAACAATTGCACATCTCGCCCCCTTACTATGCTCATTTGAAAAAAATTCTCAGAATGTGAGGCTGCCAGCCTGGGTGTCTCTGGGTGTTTATGCACAAAGTCCGGGCCTCTAGCTCTCCGCTGCTCCTGCTGACCGCGTTAGGAATGGCACCCCAGAAAGGTGCCAGCATCTGACAAGCTCTTCCTCTGCCCTACTGCATTGCTGCAAAAAACAAACACCCCTTGGAACCCCTCCTCTCCAGCCACTGCAGCAATCCTACGACCGGGAACTTATTTTCACAGAGCTTTGCTATACATGTTATTCATCTCCTAAACGCACCCGAAACCTTTCCCAAGTACACAGAGCCTGCTTCTTTCCCTGGAATGGCCTTTTGCCTGGGCCTCTTCCCCCCCAAACCTCAGGGTGGCCCCAGCTCCATCAGACTGCTGTGGCCTCTGCAGGGGGAAAAGTTGACGATCCTTTGGCGCTAGTCCCTGGGAAGTCTCCTTGTAGTTTGGTGGAGTGAGTCACAGGCTGCCTTCACCATCCTATCTGGGGAGCCCAGGGCTGCCATGTATGGTCTGTGCTCCCTGCCACCCACCTCTGTGTCAAGCCGTCCATTGCCAGGACAGCCTGAGTCATAAAACTCAGCACATTCCTCGGGCGTTGGATCGTTTTTCCTTGTTATTACTTTGCTTTTGTTTTATGCAGCACCTGGTTTCATTTTAAAAAACCCAAATAAAATCACAGGGCTGTGGCTGTGGCTGTGGCTGTGGCGGGAAGAGAATAGGAAGAAAAGCAAAGGGAATGAAAGAGGGAGTGAAACCCAGGTTAGGGGGAGGGAAGAGTAGAGCTCCCCACAAAAGACAGGACCCTGGGTGGGGACAAAGAGAGAAGTGCAGGGGAAAGGCTGGAGCGCAAGAACAAATGAATTCAGTTTGACACGAGGGCCAGAACTGCCCAGCCATGGACCCTCCAACGCCCTCCACCTTCCGAGTCGAGTCTCAACATATCCGCAGGATTGTCATTGATACCAATTTTAAGGCACTTTCCAGGTATCAGCCTCTATACCTGCCTGTTCCCTTTTTCTTGGAAACGCTAACCTATGGGTGAGGAAATATTTTCCACAAGCTAACATGCATGTTGTTTTGATTTTTCCATGAGGGACAGACACTGGAGAAGGTATAGAGACTCAACTACGCCAATGCTCCTGATCGTGTTCAATTTCTGTAGCTAGAGTGTTGCCACAGAATTAAAACTGCATTCTAACAAGCTATACCTTGCACACAGAGGTACACAGATCCCAGAGGAATGAATGATAGTCATTGCCGCGCAGAACTGCATTTCTTCAGAGTCCTGAGACACAGTAATTACAGCCTCGGACCAGGAGCCTTAGGTATTAAATTCGGAACTTAAACCCAGAGTCTGATCCAGGCTGGCCAGAGCAAAAATCCTGGAGGTTCCGGAGTCGCTCCAGGGCCGCATTCTCCGTGCACGGGGTTGGCGAGCTTAATGGAGACCATATGCCGAGTTCCCGGGAATCAGACCAGATGGCTCAGGGGAGTGCATTTTAGCTCAACCTGAGGCTAAAGGACGAAAATGATCACTAGGGGGCGGGGAAAGGCACGGAGAGAGCGGCGAAGAGACTTTTCCTGATTAGTTCTCTTGAGCAGAAAACAGAGATCCAAGTCCTGGTACCGGGGAATCCGAGGAACCCGCGGCGGAGGAAGACGGGGGGAGGGGAAGGGGGAGGCCGCTCCCGCGAACCAGACGCGGCTCTGCCTCCGCCGCGGCCAGCAGCGGATCAGGCCCGGGGCTGCCCGGCTCCGCGCCCAGACCTTCCCGCGCCGGGCTCCGCACGCTCCGCCCCGCAGCTCCGCCCCGCGGCGCGCTCGGCTCGGGCGGGGCGCACGTGGCGGGCGGGAGAGGCAGGGGGCGCTGTGGCCGGCGGGAGGCGGCGGCCAGGGGGCAGGAGAGGGAATGGGGGAGGGGCGGTGGGGGAGGGGAGGGGCGGTGGAGGAGGGGAGGAGGAGGTGGGCGGGCACGGAGGGGCGGGGCTGCGCGGGGCAGCGGCCAGATCGTGCAGGGAGGAGGTCGGTCGCGGCCGGCTGAGCCGGGGGGAAAGGCGGAGCGAGAGGCTTCGGGCCGCGGCCTGCTGAGGGGTGGGCAGTCTAGGCCGGGTCGCCTCCGCCACAGGCGGAGCCCGTTTGCCTCCTGGCGGCGGGTTGCGCTCGGGGAAACCTGGCCGCGGAGGGCTCTGGCTTCTCTGGGCGCTGGCTGTGGATACAAAACGGCCTTTCCCTCGGCCTGCGCACACAGATGGAGGACCAGCGGCCCCAGGCCGGGGCCCACGGGGTCCGCACCCCGGCACCACGCGTGTGGTGGAGGAAGCGGCTTCCAAGTGCTTAACTTTAAAGAAACTTAAATGATTATAAAGCTAACTTTTGTCCCTTGCCTGCAGGTCTCACACACACACTTGCACAAACGTGCGTGCACACACACGCAGCAGGGATGAGGCGTTGGAGACCAGGTGTCCATCCTGCCAAGGTCCAGACATTGCCCACGCTGCTTACCTCACTGTCCTCTATCACGCGCACTCTGGGCTTCCAGCCTGTGGCTTCGTTTTCCAAGTCAGAAAAGTAAGGACAGCAGCCCTCGCTGACCGCAATCGGAGTATTGATCAGTTTCTGAGTCTGCGGATGAGCGGACTTTACTTAAAGAATCCCATTGTACCTGAAACGGGAGGAAAAATGGCCTGATTGTCAACACTTGCTCATCCGCAAAGGTCACTCTCCCCGCAGAATTGGGAATTAAATTGCCTCTTTCAAACCAGACATCATTCTTGAGCAGGCGCTGTGACTGTTTAGGCATTTTCACCCGTCCTTTTTGACCTTCCTGTTTCTGTGCTGTACTCTGTCGAAGGTCAGATCGATAAACAGGAGGGGGAGGGGTGGATCACTAATCCCCCTCGGCTCTGCACTTTTCTGGTTTATCTACCATTTCTTTAATTCTGGTATTCCTGGGTGTGAACTGTCTGCTTTCCAGTCTTACATCACGAATTCCTTCAAGTTGGGACTTAGGAATGTAAATAGCTACAACATGGTTAGGAAAGGCACCAAGCAGACGTTAAGAGTAAAAATATTGCTAGTGGTTCAAAATTTTATCCATTCCATCCTGGTTAATAATGCAGGAATGTGTACCACCGTTTTATAGCTCCATGTTTGTTCTCGTTTCCCTGAGATATTAGCACCTATTTAAAAATAGTAAGATTTTCTTTGTCTCCGAAAAGTCATAATTTATTTTCGGGGCTGAGTTTCCTCAAATTAGTGCACCACAGTCATTGCTGTGGTATGCATGCGTGCATGCATGTGTGTGCGCGCGTGCGTGCGTGCGTGTGCCTGTTACTGTATCACAAAACGAGTGGGGTGTAGTATCGTTTACTTGCAATGAATCAGGCCACTGTGAGTAGAGAGAATTTACATTGGGGGCCCAGGAAGCACCTTTCAGAGGGAGACAACTTTTCAGAACAGCTGCAGACCCTGGTAGGGGGAATCGCCTAGCCTGGGGACAGTCCATGTAGCAAGAGAGATTTGTTTATTTAACAATAGTTAATTATTCTCCCACACAACTCCCAGGAGTCCAGCTAGCATAAATACACTTTCAAGAAATCTTCTATCCTTGGTAAAAACAGGTCCCAAGCCTATAGGAAAGGGCGCCTGGTTGCCCACACAATGTAACTTTCAGTGGACCCCAGTGTCAAATGCCCTCAAATTAACCCTGCCACAGCCCTGCCTTCCTGTGCTTAAAGTGTCCCTGGGACAGGAATCAGGTCCCAAAGCAGAGAAGTTATTTCTAGAAGGGGACCATTAAACTAGGAGCCAAGGTGAGCATCAACCCTGCACTCTTAGCTGAATTAATTGAATCCCCTTATTGGCACCATTGACCAGAATTTTAAAGCAGTACATGGAGCTGGTGGTAATGCTATTAGAATCTGATATGTTAGATGGTACTTGAATCATTTTTTTAATTTTAATGGTGAGGTCTTTTTTTTTTTTTAAGTACACAAACTAGCATACCAAACCCATGATGTTGCAAATACAATTACTTAGGGTGAGCCTGATTTTTCAAAAGTCAATTTAAAGAACAATTTTAATAAGCAAAAGTCACAGGATAGCCAAATATACAGCTCTAACTTTCATAATAAATGATGTCAGCAAGGTACACCCTAACACCCATGTTTATTCTTTCAACTTATTCTCTAACAGGAACTCTAGGACATAAAAGGAATCTTAATTTAAATTTGGATTTTGAGCTGAGGATTTAGCTCAGTGGCACAAGTGCTTGCTTGGCAAGTGCAAAGTCATGAGTTTGATCCCTGGTACCAGAAAATAAGGAACAGGGACCATGGCACAATCCATCCTGGGTGTGGGACAGACAGATGAGAAGAGCTGACCAGGAACAGTCTGCAAGCTACTGCCTGTGTCACGAGAGGTAGAATCCAAAGACTCCTAGGCATCACTAACGAGAAACTAGATGGATCGAATGTCCCATCCTGAGAGTCTCTAGGAAGCTGGCTTCCTAAACAATCAGAAAGCTCAATGCAAGAAACTGTGCAGCCCGTGTTTCCAGGACAGCTCTGCCTTCCACCAGCTCTAACTTCCAAGTCAGTTAGGGAATGCTTCTCCCCCAACTGTAAACATCCAAGCAGACACCAGAAAGGCCACTCACTACTAAGAAAAGATTCTTACGTGCTTTGAGATTTTCTCCACACATTTGTGGTTCACCTGGGTCTTCAGGGCTGGCTGCTTAGATCTCACAACTAGGGGTAAAGAGACATCCAATGTGTAAGTGCCTGTGGAAAGCAGAGGTAGGAATAAATGATATTTACTGACATCCCAAATGGCTTTTTAAGACCAGGTCTCACTACGTAGTTTAGGCTGGTTTTATTATGTTACCAAGCTTGGACTTGAACTTGCCGTGATCCTCCTGTCTCAGTCTCCCAAGTGCTGGGAATTCAAGTGTGTACTACACCTAGTGATTCCAAACACCTCTCAGTCAATAGTTCCAAGCCCTCACTGTACACGGCTGCCACCACCACCTCCTCCTCATCTGCAGTGCAGAGCTGCTACTGCACAGCTAATGTCTCTGTTGGATTTCTGCCTCCTGTCATTTCTGGGTCCTATATTCTTGATGCGGGAAACACCTAACATGGTGGAGGACAGGAGAGAGCAAGAAGAAACGTAAAAGGCCTCCAATAGCCTCTGACACTGGAACTATTGGATGAAAATCATGATTACAATAAGGACTGTACATGGATATAAAATAGTAGTTCAGGAGACAGCTTACGTGATTTTCTACAATTCGGAAGTGCAGGAGGAGCATCAGCAGAATACCAAATCTGGTGTGCCTGTGAAAAAGGAGTCAGAAATAAATAACAGCCACTTTTACAGTAGCAGAAATCTGATACAATTCCTCTTTCAATGTTGTCCCCCCACCTTTGGATTTCAAAAGGTGCTTTGATAGACTGTTATCAAAAGGTGTGAAGGGGTAGAGAGCTTGCCTAGGATAGGAGAGCGCCTGGGTGTGAGCTCCAGCATTAGGGGGGAAAATCTGCTGAAATAAATGGAAAGGAAATTGAGAAAGATACTTATTAAATGGTCTAGGCAAAAGAATATAATCCTAATATATAAAGAACTTTATGAAAATCAATGAGAAAAAGCTAAATGGCCTGTACAAAAATGGACCAAGGAAATATACTCATCTTTATTCTTCATGGACTCCATATTTGTGAATTCACCTGCTTGCTGAAATTGATATGTAACCCCGAAGTTAACATTCACAGCATTTTTGAGGTAATTCACACAGAATGACAAAAAACTTGACATGCCTGTTCCCAGATGAGGTCGCACAGTGGGGACCGGATCTCCTATATTGTAGAGTATGGCTTTTTTGCATTCTATTTTGAGCCACATTTTCTGCATGTTTTGTGAGTGATTCTCCTATTTAAAATGGCCCCAAGTACACTGTTCAAGTGCTGTCTAGTGTTTCTAAGTACAAGGCTATGATTATGCCTCATGGAGAAAAGATTGTGTTATTTAAACTCCGTTAAAGTGCTGTTAATAAATTAACAGCATATTAACTAAGGGTCTTGGAACAGAAGTGGTCATAAAAGCACCTCCCATATTGATCACGTGACAGAAATATTGGGACAGGAGGTCAGTATGGTGATTTCATGGTTCATGGCAACTTCACAAAACATAACTACTGTCAACAATGAGAATCAACTCCAATGGGGGGGATATACAAATTAATGAACATAAGAGAAGGTGCTCAATCTTACCAGTAGTCAAAGAAAATTAAATGAGAGACTTGAAAAAGTGTCATTATCAAATTGAAAAACATTATTTTTTTCAGACCCACATTTGTAAATATCACATTGTCTCTCTAGCATAAAAAATAAATAATAATAAACTGAAAGAGTAATAAGATCCAAAATGTATATAGATATTGTAATAATGAAAGGGAAAGAAAATGCTCAAAAGCAAAGAAAAACTTGTAGGTATACACATATAACTGTATGTATGTTTAAGTGTGCAAAATAGATAACCATACTACTAAGTTTTTGTTAGTTTGTCAAACAGAATAGTTTGTGCCATCATCGTTTGATTGGCTGTTCATTTTTTATGCTTTGATTTTGTAACTTGAACAACTACTTCTAAGATAACAATGTGTAATATATCAACTAGTGATGATTTCTTAATTTTTTTTGAAACTCTATCTACTTTTTTCTGTTTTGGTTTTTTTAATAAAAAATTATTTTTTAAAGCATGTGTTAAGACAATGAGCACTCTTGTCATGCAGAGGTTGAGGCATGAGGATCTCTGGGAATTCATAACCAGTCTGGGCTACATAGTGAGTTTAAGGCCACCTTGTCCCAAAAGACAAGGGTTACAAACATCAAAAAAGAAACCAAAGAAAGCATTGTCACGTATTGTTCAGTCATGAGACATTCTCTGGAGGCACTTTAGTAAGTATGCCACTTGACCCAAGAATTCAACCTATCGGAACATTCTCCAAAGAGATGAATTTACAGTTGCAAAACTGTATTTTCAAATTGTGATCATCATAACATTGTTTATAATAAATGACAAATTTTGAAAAACCTAAGTGCCTGGTGATGAGGGCTATTTTAAATTTCTGATATAGACAGTTAGTGGAATCTGATGTATCCATTAAATGTGATGTCAGACAACTTTATTTGTTAACAGTCAGAGATGCCCATGATAATACTGAGTGGTAAGAAGCCGATTTGAAAGGACAGTGTCCAGGATGATGATGGCCATCAGCATACTGTGTACATGCATCTTTATGTATGCACAAGTCAAGAAATATTTGTAAGGGAATTCACTAAAGTGTAAATTGTGATTTATCTTTCAGAATGAAGGGAAAGACCAGATAATTTCTACTTTCGCTTCTATTTCTGTCCTCTATATTACCGGAATGTTTACAATCAGAGAGAAGCTGTTCTGCCACTATCCTGCATGTCATTATTGCCATGCATAGGACCTCGGAAAAGCTGGTGATCGTGACTACCCTCAGCTGTTCACAGCTGGTAACCTTGGTGACCTTGTGTCCCATAGTCTCATCGAAAGTTATAATAAACCCTTGGGAACAATGGTGATGAAGGAGTTCTTAAAAGCCCTACCCTTTTTAGTTTGCCTTTTAAGGAGAATATGTGGTTTGCAATCACTGAAGCACTCAGTGTGTAAAAGATCACTGAAAAATGTTGGGCTCACCACTCTGTGCTTGACATCAAATGGATTTTTCAAGGGCCCGTTTATATCAGGGAATCGCCCTGCATGCAAATGAAAAGGGAAAAAAGGAGGATTAAATTCATTGTAAAATGTCTTACGCTTGCAATTAGACTATTATCAGCAGATGGTACAGACATCATTTGTTTCCCTTTAGCATCTGACCAGCAGAAAAGTAAGAGTCAATCAGGTAAGACAAGACCATGACTGAAAATTAATTTGCGTGGCACTTTGGGAAGGGATAAACATTTTTATGTCTGGAATACTCTTCTGTGATAGCTAGCTTATTCTCTTCAAATCAGAAGGAACTGAGGCTGTGCTGACATGCTGTAAGTTTTCTTCAAGGTGCTCACAAGTTCAGTGTATTCTTTAACAACCTTACTGAGGTATAACACCCCCCAAGTAACCCACTCTAAGTGTACAGTTTAATGATTTTCAGTAAATTTGCAAAGTTATGCAACCATCACCATGATCCAGTTTGAGAGCATTTTCATCACCCCAGGGAAACCCCTCATGCCCTTTTACAGTTAATCCCCTTCCCTACCACTGTTCCCAGAAGATGACTAATCTCCCTCTCTATAGATCTGCCTTCATCAGCTACTTCAACAAATGGAATCATACATTATGCGGTCTTTTGTGTCTGGATTCTTGTATTTAGCATAATATTTTTTAGGTTCAGCTATTTTGCGGCTGCTTGAGTATTTTGTCGTTATTTTATTACTGAGTAGTATCATATTGTATGAATATACCAGATTTGCTATCCACTCATCAGTTAATGGAAAGCAAAGTCATCTTCGATTTTGGCTACTGTCAGAAGTGGTGTGGCCTCTACTCACTTGCAAATCTTTGTGCATATGTTTTCATGTGTCTTGCTGGACTTCATGTTTTCATGTTGACTTGCTGGATCCTATGGTGGATTTATGTTTGAGTTTAAAAGACACTGCCAAACTATTTTCCAAAGTAGCTATACTGTTTCCTATTCCCACCAGCAATGCATGTTCCAGTTTCCTCATACCCTCACCAACATTCATTATCTGTCCTTATGATTACAGATATTCTAATAAACATGAAGTATCATCACACTGTGTTTCTAATTTGTGTCTCCCTGTTCATGGTCACGCTGTGATCACATTGTGTGTATGTAGTCACATTGTGTTTTTGATTTGCATTTCCCTAATGACAGATCATGTTTAGTTCTCCGATATTTTTATTAAAAATAACACAATAAATGCTGAAAAGGGGCCTTGCTTTGGCACAGGATGATGGGGTTTGGTCATTAAGAGTGAATGAGGCAGAAGAATAGAGTTTGGCAAATGCTCACTGATATTTGTGCTTGTAAGCTGGTAATATTTTGAAGCCAGAGTCAAAGAGCTTGACAAGTATTTAGTTAAATTCCTGCAGTAAAAGAAGTGCATAAGAAATATGTTCTGCAGAAGCAGCTAATTTTTCCATTCTCTGTGATTCTTTAGCCTTTCAGAGGTCTGTAAGACTTTTATAAACCCCACAGGCCTGAGGCTTGGCTAGGTTTATGTCACTTTTCCTTTCCAGAATTATAGTAGATAATCATTCATTAGTAAATAACATGTTTCAACGACATTAAATTTTATAGAAAGTTATTTTGAGACATTGATGCACTATGAAAAACAAAAACCAGACATGAGAATTTGGGCTAGACCACTGCCTAAAGGTATTTACATTATTTGTGTCCATCTTTCAGCCAAACCTGGTCTGACTTAGAAATGTGTCTCATTTTCTTTAGTCTGTTTATATAGGGGGCCAGCAGAAAACTTACACATGTTGGAATATAGTTAGCTAATGATTTTCTTTGTGATTTTTACAGTTGAGAAAAGAGAGCCCACAGTGCAATTTGACCTTGGAAGTTTCATTCCCTCCTTTTGATTAAAGATGCTTACTATGACCCTAATCTCCCAACCTATGTCCACCTCCCAGCCCTGACACTGTGACCAAATGGGGCAATTTTGTTGATGAAACTAACCATTTGAATAGCTGCCAACAAATTCTACCATTAGATATTTGTTCCTTAAATATTGTGCCAAGCCTAATGGAATATTACAGTGATTTATTTTTTAAAAGTAAATTATCAAGAAGGTTAGTGTAGGCTGGCCAGCTTCCGCTTTTACAGGATCTGCTCACAAGTGACAGGATTCCTCTAGGCCTTCTATTCTAAGCATTTAGTCTACCTACTGCATCTCTGTCATAATACAACTGTCAGCCTTGTTTGTGATTCAGTTTTAATAGATTGGAGTCAATTCAGTCTCCCAACTTCCCATCCTTCAGTTCCTTGACACTTTGAGTCCCTTGAAATGAAGTTTCCATGAACCTCAAACATAACGTTGAAAGATGAAGATGAAGCATTCTCCATCTTTTTAAAGTTATGTGTATACAAAGAAGCAGAATGTAGATTAAACATTAACAGCTCTTAACCTGAAGTTCTGAGATGCCTGCCTTGCTGCCTTGTAGGAGAGTCCTTGTGAATACTTTTTGAAAAGAGAGCCTGGAGTTTTCTTCAGATTTTCCAAAGCATCTTAAAAATACAAGGTATCACTGTCATACAAAGAGACTTGTTAACCACTGGCATAGAACACAGAGCAAATTTCTTTCCTGACAAGTTTTTAATAAGGAATACAATGGTATATATATTAAATAAAAATTATGCTTCAGCTTTATTAATATACTCAATCCTTGAGTATAATAATAGTATTACAGTGTGTGAGAAAATATTCTTACTGACGGAAGACACACGCTGAAACATTTGAAAGTAGTATGTTGTAATGTCTTTAATCTACTGTCAATAACCCGGTCAAGAAGCACATACAGGTATCAGCACGTACAAACTGAGATAAAGCAAATTGTCAATAAAGGTGGCAAAATGTTGCTGACTCTAGGAAAGAACAGGTAGCATTGACTGCAAAATTCCTGCAACTTTTCTCTGGATTTAACTATCTGTTTTACGTAGCAAATAAGAGAGTAAGGTATTCATTGATAGGCCTTAGCTTCACAACTATCAGAAGGCTATTGTCACATTTTATAGATGACTACCACCAGGCCCTGAAAAAAAAAGAGATTAGGAAGACCAGGCTGCAGCACCCCAGATTACATTTGAGATATAATGAAAGACAGACCTAATATCAGCGCTGTACCCCCTCCCTGTCTTCACCCAGCATAACTCCAGGCCCTGTCCAGGCGGACACCTGGGAGTTCCTGGCGCCCAGCGGATCACCGCACTGCCCACCCCAGAGTTGTCTTTTAAGTTCACAGGCGAAACCCATTGCCGCCACCTCCTAGTGGATGTTATGCTTGAACAGGAAAGCGCACGCAGTAACAGATGGCATCTGGTGACCTTCTTAATAACAGGCTTGGCCGCCAACGTTCCCTTGTGTCCGGGCTCTGCGGGGAATTTGGAAACTGTTGCCTTACACTTGAATATTTTCCGGCAAACACATTTAACTATTTATTAGTCAGTTTCCTAACTTAGAGTAAAGAAAGCAAAACTACATAAAACAAAATCTGCACCGGTGTTTCCCGAGTCAGAGGCCCGTCCTGGAATTCCTTGGTATGTGCTAGCATCAATCGTCTGGTGTCACTGTCCTTTGCAGTGTGGTATGAAGACCTCGGTTTCAGGCAAAGCAGGTGTCGTACTACCTAGATTTATTGGTGGCTAATGTGATCTTTTTCCCTTTCTGTCATTTAAAAGAAACACATGCACTTCTCACAGCAAAGGGCACAAATGAGACAGAAAACAAACAAAATCCTGGTGTCAAAAGTCCCTTCTGCTTGACAGTTCACACCCAGTGTGAAAGTGGGAATCCCATGGTGAGCAAAGCTGGGACCAGGTCTTCTTGTTCCTTGCTTTCCCTGCCCTGGGTGACAGTGGCTGTCAGATCCACAGCGGGATGCAGGAGGACGGGGGAGGGCAGAGATGGGGCTGGGGGGATCTGTCCCCTGGCCTCCTGCCCCTTGATCCCCTAAACCTTTCTTCACCTTTTCTCTGCTCACCAGGATGGACCTGTACCAGAAGGGAAGTGGTAAAATCTGCCCCTGCCACGTGGTGGGTGTGAAGAACACGATGAAGGAAAGAGGTTTCCAGTGTATGCATGGTGGGAAGGCAGGTGGGGCCCCTTAGGGAGAGGCCGGTCAGTTGATAGGAGAAGGATTGTGTGGAGCTACACAGAGGAGGATGAGGTCTTCCTGGGGCAGGTGTGTAGGCGGGCTGCATCCTGGATACCTCCTGCAGAGCTGAGAGGGAAGTAAGAGTCTTCCCGATGACCCCATCTCAGGACTACAGAACACAAAGGGCCTTGGAGACACCCCCATGCCTGGGAAAGCTGACCTGGTGCGCGGGGCCCTGACTGGAGAGCTCTGGGTCTCCTAAGAAAGTTGGCAACAGGGTTCCTGGCTTGCTGCCGTTGTCCCTTTGTGAGCCATCCCAAGGTCAGGCTACAGTCCCTGCCTCGTGCAGTCGAGAGCCCCCGTGCACACTTTATTCAGGCCTGCCCTGTGCATGTGCCTCCAGCTCTGCGCCAGCGCCCACAACCTGGAAGAGTGAAGAGCTTTGGAAATTATCCAAACATAGCACAAGCGGGGGGACATCCCCGAGACACAACCAGAGCAACACAGTGGGGTTTGGAAGCCGTGACATCCACCTTTGCCTTGGGCCCCAGTTGCTCCCGTAGGCAGCCACCTGCTCCTTGCCTCTTGCTCCCGTACTCCTAAGCACCTTTGCAATTGCTTTTTAATACGTCCATGTATTTCAGGTTTGAGGTCCGCCTGGCTGATCTTTATAAACCCATTATAGGACCTTGGTGGGGACAGAGGGTAGAAATAACTAAAATCATGTGCATTTGCTACCATCCATAAGCTATTTATTGATCCCATTTTAAAAACATTGCACCCTATAGGACTCAATAAAGACCACCATTCAAAACACAAGTTTGTGAAAAGGCTGTTTCTATAAATTACATTCTAATTTTAATGATTAATTTTAAAGCATCTTTTGGAAGAATTATGATAAGCGACTGGCTCTCTAAGAAGGCATAATGTGGGAAGGAAAATACCAACAAGGAAGGATCAGTGTCTGGCTTGTGTTGGACATGACAGACATGTTCCTGCCCTCATGAAGTTTATGTTCTGGAAGGATACAGAGGTATTCAACAAGTAAACAAACACAGTGGTACAGAGTAAGCAAAGTAGCCACCAACAGAAAACTGGGAAGGAGAAAGTGTGAAGGAGATAACTTTAAACATGGCATCCAGGGGAGCCTTCTTTGAAAACATGAAATTTAAAGCCAGACCTGAGAGCTATAACTCAGGAGAGAAACAAGAACAGCATGTGTAAGGGTCCTGAGGTAGAAAATGGCTTGGCATTTGTAAGTCACTAGAGAAACTGATACATGTGGAACAGAGTGAGAAAAACTCGAAAGAGACATGAAACAAGACAGGAAAGATAGGCAGAACCCCATTCATGCAAGCCTTTGTAGGCTTTGGTATAGAACTAGGATTCTATTTGCAGGTGCAAGAGGAGACAGAGAAGTGACATCCTCTTTATCTATTAAGATCTCCCTGTGTGGGGAAGGATGGGATTGGTAAATCTTGCTTAATGAGTACTTACCGCTTTTTTAATCTTTCTAGGTTTTTTTGAAGGCTTCCCCAAAGAATGCAACCAGCATTAAAAGAGTGGGAGAAAAATGAGTATGCTTAAAAGTGGACACAAATCCTCTTGGAATTACACTGTGAATCATATGCATATTGTTTGGTTCTTGTCAATATTCTCCTAGACACATCATCATCCGTATGAAAGGGTGATACATGATCCAGATAGCTGCTCCAGACACTTGGAACTTTTGTCTGTGGTTAGGAAATATCCGGGGACATCTCGCACACACGATCATACCGGGGCTGTGAGGGGCGCCTGATATGCAAAGCCCCGCCCAGTCCATATCGTGTCTTGGGAAATAACAAGGAGCCTAGCTTACTCTTTGGCGGGACACTGTGAACCCATCCTAGAGCTGTACAGGTAGGGGGACCCAGGAGTAGGGCTGAGGACCAAAGAAAGGAAGGAACAGCCCATGAACACTGGCCTGAAAAATCAGTGTGCATTCTTCCATGCTCTTGAGATAGTTTCTTTGGGCAGAAAGCTGGACAGAGGCTTAGCAACTGAACAAAATTTGCTGGAATCTGTTTAGTAAAGAGGAAGCAAGCCTAAAGTCGAATTGGCTATTTTTTGTCATATTGAAATTTTATAACACTTGATTTTCTCTGTTCTTTGAATATGGGAAATAAGCAAGTGATGGACCCCCAGGTGCATCCAGGGAGCCAGGTCAGTAAAGCCACCACTAAATCTTTCCACTAACACTTGGAAAGAAACAATATGAGTGCAAAAGGAAAACCACCTAATGTAGGCAGAAGAAATATGACTGAACTCTTTGAAAGGCAGTCGTGAAAAAGAACCTGAGAACTTTCTGTCATGACCATAAATCACATTTAAGAGAGAACAGTCTATCTGACCCACCTACTTATGGATGGAGGACACAAAGAGGCCATCACTAGCCTGATGTCCACTAGTGACAAGCAAGTTATGTTGCTGGTATGTAGTGACAATGTGATCCTAGATTTCATGTTTTCATTCTCCTCCTGAGGGAATTCTCTAGTCCAATTAAAGTAGGTAACCCAAAAATCAGATATGGAAAATGAAAGAAAGCACAGAACAGAGATGTCATGTGGCCAAATTAAAGTTTGCCGTGAGGTACTGTCAGTCACCCAATGAAGAAAATAGACATCAGTTATCCTAAATGATGCTTGAGGAGAATGAAGTAGGCAATATGAGCAGATTAATAAGTCATCATTATGGGGGCTGGGGATTTAGCTCAGTGGCATAAGCACCTCCCTTGCAAGCAGGCGGTCATGAGTTCGATCCCTAGTACCGGAAAAAAGAAAAAAAGAAATAATAAGTCATCATTATGAATATATACACTTATGACATTTTACCTGATCATAGAAATAGGAGACAGGAAACAGAATACGACCTAGTGCATAGCAGTAAATGATTGTGTTTTTTTCCTCATGTTATCACCCCTCAAAGGCCCTTCCTCTTCCAGCTGTGGACCTGCACAGCAGCTCATGGAAACCGTAGGTGGTGACTGGGCTTACAGTATTCTGAAGGACACAAACAACAGCTAAAATGGAATAGGATTGCATTACAAGCTACTCAGATCAGATGCCTGGCACCGGCCTTTCTATGAATGATTCCCACACACTGGCTCAGACTCTGCTCCAAACAATATGTAGTATCAGTCAATTTTCTGTTCTTTACGGCAGAGAGAGAAAGAAAGTCTCTCCTGATTGAACAGTAGCACAGATTGTTACTTGTCCTGTCCTCCTGCAGCAATAAATGATAAAAGGAAGCCTTAAAACCTATCTCAAATGTACTATTCCTATAAAGTCAAATTTTATTAGGAAAACCAGCCATTGTCGAGAGTAAATCTGAAAAACACAAACTTAATCTTGTTCATTTAGGAAGCACTTGCATGGAGGCAGGATAAATTTCTACTGTCTTCTTACGCAACACAAACACATGTGAACAGATTAAAACTTTAAATGCTATAGCAAATGGGCAAGCGTCACCAGGATATCTTATGAAGAAGGGCTAGAATTTTCAATTTGAGTTTGCAATCACTAATCTTACTAAATCTCCAGAGCTTCAACACAGATAGAAACAACCTGGGAAGATCTGTTGTGTTGCCTCCTCAAAGTCAGGGTTCGTGGCAGAACGGGCAGCTGTTTCCTTCCCTAGTCCACAGCTGTTGGTAGGATGTGGCTGCCCAGCCAGAGACTCCATTCCGAGCTCTCTGGCCTCGTGCTGGAATGCCAGCAGGGTGGGGTGTGTCATCTCCGAGCCTCTGCTCCCCACCCTTCTTTCTCCCCACTGCCAGACAGCGACAAAGGATCCAAAGGCCCCAAGGGACAATGTCCCCCCAGGAAGAAGGAAGTCTGTGTCCTTGATCAGACCACACGAAAGGTTTAGATGAAGAGCTGTCACTTTGGCCTTGTGTGAAATCTTTTGCTCTTTTACTGTGTTTAGGGGTTTATCTAGGATAGCAGTTAGTGTTAACCTAACAACCATAAAAGGGTACACATGGCGATAATTAATAAATATAACTTACTATTGATTAGTCCTCGCCTTGGTTTCTCTTCCTACTTTCTGACATCTGAGTACAACTCCGATATCTATAGTTAGAGGCTGCATTCGATATCCAGAGTTTGAAATTCTGGTGTAAGTTCCACGCTGGGACTAATATAGAGGAGGAAGAGTTTTGCCTTGGGATACATGTTATTCTTAAAGGAACATATCCAGAGTGGAACATGGTCATTTCTTGCTAGAGACAACATAGCCTTTGGAAGGCAAATGAGAACCAGAAGGACCATCACCAACCTAAAAGCAGAGGAGAATGATGTCAGGAATATGGTAAAATAGGAGCTATCTACCATAATTTCCTTACAAAAGCAATGATTTCAATGATCAACCGCAGATGAGAGTTCATGCATCCAGTGAAGCAGTCCTAGGTAGGACAGTTAAAAATTCAAGAATAGATTTGTGGGGGAGAGTAAGAAGATGAAGTTGCACTTTACCCACATTGCTGCTTCTCCAGGGTAGCTCAGCACAGCACCAAGAGCTGTCTCCTCTGCCCATGATCTCTCCCACAAGGCAGGGCAGGAGTGGGGTGAGGGAGCACCTGGCTCCTCCAGCCATGCAAGACGCTGTGTGGGAAGCCCACTTCTTCCTTCCTTCCATGTTCATTCACTGCACATTACTCACCATATCTAAGACAAGAAAACAATCTACGTGTCTACAACAGATGGATGGATGAAAAGCCTGTGGTATATCCATAAAGTGGAATATAATTTAGCCTTCACAAAGAGGGAAATTCTGCCATCTTTGGCAACATGGATGAAACTGGAGGACACTAAGTGAAATAAATCAAGAACACTAAGACAAATTCTGTACTGCATGATTCACTTACAAATGGAATCTAAAAAAGTCAAACTCATGCAAACGGAATGGAAATTGTAGTTGCCAAGAGCTGTGAAATGAGGCAAATGGGAAGTGTTGGTCAAAGAATCAAACTCTAAACTGTAAAATGAATTAATGTACAGCATGATGACTATAGTTAATAAAAATGTACTGTGCACTTGAATTTTGCTAAGAAAGTAGATGTCAAGTATTCTTACCATGCACACACACAGAGTAACTGTGACACATTAATTAGATTTATGCTGTCAATCATTCCATAATGTGTACATATATTAAGAGGTTTTTCTGTACACCCTAACCACATGTACTCTGTATTTGTCAATTCTACTTCAATTAAACTGGGAAAAACTAACCTAAAAGTCAGAGCTATAGCAACCTTGGCCAAGAGGCTGTGCTCGAAGAACTGATTGTGTTGTACCTACCTTTGACATCTTTAGTCTCTTGGGCACCAGCTCCACAGAAGAGAGGACTGTAGGTGGATCTGTTCAGCAACACTGTCCTAAAGAAAGTAAATGGCAGAAGGAAGTTACATGCTTATGGGTTTAAAATCACAAAGCCTATAACGTAGAGGGATTTTCACCCACCTTCTCCTTTGGTTTCTTGAGTTTTTGCTGCTTCTCCTCTCTTTCCTCGCTCCCAATCACAACCCCACACTTCCATTAAATCAACCCAAGTTGGAGCATCTCATTGCCTTTAAGGGATTTGTTTGTTCTCTGGTTTGTCATGGAACAGTAAAAATTTCAACTTCTGTGCATGAAAAGCCCAAACATTAAGTTCATAATTATTTCAACAGGATTTATGAGTGTTTCTCTAGGGAACTGCTTTCAAAACAAGCTAAGTGCTGTGCATGCAATAGGAGCGATTACAGTAATTATGCTGGTTTCCAAATAAAACTTAAAAGTTAATGGCAGTGGATAACTTGGTGACTCACAGATGCAGTGTCTGTCCCTTCAAAGACATCTGTTTCCCTAAATCCGGATATGACATTCTTTTTAAGCAAGGAAGAGTGTTTGGGAATCACAAATTATTTTGTATGGAATGGACAAAGGTATCAGTTCATAATTATGCAGTATGTCATGGCAATTACTCAGTAAGTGTGGAGACTACGTTATTAGATGCAGACAAATTTGGGATTGTGATAGCATCCTATTTGATTGACTCTGTTATTATTATGATATTACCCTCCTTAACCCTAAGGCAACACTTTATGCCTTCTGACCATTCCATCTAAAGCACTTTCCTCCCCATTTCCTCTTTACTTTTTAATATTTTATTTCTTATGAGAAGTTTTAAATTCATAGCAAAACAGAGAAAAAGATACAGAGATTCCCCCTATAGTTCCTCCCATACATAAACACATTCCTCATGTTACGATGAAAACATTATAATTACTCCTGAGACTCTAGGAGTAATTATGTTAGGGTTCAGTCTTGGTGTCGACAGTCTGTAGGTCTGGAACAGCATAATAGTACGTGACCTTTGCTGTAGTAGAATCGATCTTCTCTGTCCTAAGAAAACTTCTGTGCTCCAGCTCTTTGTCCCGCCCTCTTTCCATCAATCCTGGGAATCACCCATATTTTTACTGTTGCTATAGCCTCCTCTTCCCAAATGTCATGTTGTTGGAAGCAGGTTGTACATAATCTTCTCAGAGTGGCTTCTTTCACTGCATCACATCACTAAAATCCTTTTCATGATCTGAAAACTCATTTCTTTTTATCATTGAATAATATCCCATTGTATGTGCCAAAGTTTATCCATGTACCTATTGAAAGACACCTTGGTTCCTTCCAAATTTTGGGAATTATGGATAAAGCTAGCATAAATATCTGCTTATGGGTTTTCAACTCCTTCGGCACAGTACCAAGGACTGTAAACGCTGGCTCCTATGGTAACAGGAAAGTGGTTTGTAGGAAACTCTCAAACTGTCTTCAGTGACCTGTGCTATTTTGCATTCCCAGGAGCAGGAATGAGAGTTCCTGTTGCTGTACTTGGTGGTTAACTGGAGGATCAGTTTGAGAAAGAAACATACAACTAACTGGATTCCATAGTTCTGGGTTTACGGACCCCAGCAGACACACTGGGTGTGAGTGACACCAGCCAATAGGCTTGTCCCCTGACTGGAATGACAGAGGGGCCAAGACGGAAGGGTCCCTTCTGTTCAGAGGAGCTCCAGTCTTCACCTTTGCCTGGACATCATCTCCTGGCACCAGTGGAGACTCTTCAGCCTCCTACAATGGACTCGAAGGAACATTAAAGTGGACCTTGGACCTTGGACTGGATCCGTCTGATCGCCAGCGCACACTAACTCTGCATGTAACTATTGTGAACCTACCTCGTACGTCCTTATTATTTATAAATCCTTATTAAATGTGCTTCTCTGGTGAGTAGAGACTGATACACTTCACATGCTTGCCATCATTTAGCATTGCCAGTGGTCTGTCTGGATTTAGGTCATTCTAACAGGTGTCTAGTGGTATATTATTGTTATTGTTTGAATCTGCATTTCCCTGATGACTTACAATGTGAGACATCTTTTCAGATTCTTATTTACCATCTGTGCACTGTCTTTAATAAGGTGTCTTTAAGGGTCTTTGATTCATTTTTAAATCAGAGTGTTTATTTTGAATGGCTGCATCTTAAGTGTTCTTTGTATATTTTGGGTAACAATCCAGTATCAGATATGTCTTTTGCAAACATTTTTCCCCCTGATTTTGCATTTTATTTTTATTCTTGACATTGTCTGCTCCACTGAAGTTTTTAATTTTAATGAAGTCCAGCTTATCAACTGACAATGCTGAGGACTGCTGGTCAGGTATGTCATAGGACACCTTTGAATTGGCATTTCTCTAATGTTTTTCTAATGATTGCATGCAACTAATATGTTTGGGGCAGGAAGATCACAGAGGTAAACTTATCTATTATACCAAGGGCACAGCCTATTCAGTGGCTTATCATTGTCAATATTAACAGTGGGTTGAGACAGTGAAGGAGTGTGTCAGGTCTTCTCACAGGAAAGCTCCTCTTTTACCTTTCTATATTTATTGGGGAAAAATCGCTCTGCACAGCTCACACTTAAGTAGTGTGAGTTCTGTTCCATCTCTTTGGTCATGAAACAACTATATAAATTCTCTGAAATTCTTTCTGTGTGGGAAATTTGTCCCCCACTAATATAGTTATTCATTATCCATTTATGCCAGTATTAATTCATGAAAATTTTTACATGTTAGATTATGATCCTTTTCTTTTTCTCTCTTTTCCTTCCACTCTCCTTTCCTCCCTCTCTTCCTCCCTTCTTTCCTTCCGCCTTCTTTCTCTCTCCTGTCTCTCTCTCTCTCTTTCTCTCTTTTCTATGAAAAAATTTACACTTTTGAGTTATTTTGCTTGTTCCCATCGTTGTGGTTTAGTTGGTACACTGATACTCGTAAGTTGTTTATTATGCTTAGCTGTACTGCTAGTGTGGGGAACCCTTAGGAAATGACTGCTTCTCAGAGATGACTTCCAAGAGTAGCTAGCTTTTGGATACTGAATTTGTTCCAAGATCCTACCTCTTCGATTTATTTGCTGCCTACTTGGCCCAATCCCTGGTTCTTTGGCACTGGCTTATAGTGTTATTTATGACCATCAGGCAATCTCAGTCTTGGCATACGATGAGGAAGAGCTGTTTAGAACAATTATGCATCATGGCTAATGTAGTATAATCAGAAATAACAATAGCATCAAACATACTCTAAACAATGACAAAGTGCAGTAACTTTTAATTTGTCACCTTTTATCTTAGAAACAAGATTTGTAGTTTAGTTATGTAACAAAATCTAAAACAAACCAGAGAACTGCATCCAGTAAATATCCCTTCAATGTGGCAATTTTACTCTCAAGGCAGAAAACTTAAAAGGGGCTGGGGGCAAACAGAAATAGAAGAAGAGAAAGGGATTAGAGCCGGGGGTATAGCTCAGCAGCACAGCGTCTGCCTGGCAAGTGCAAGGTTGTGAGCTCAATTGCTGGCACACACACACAAAAAGAGAGAAATACAAAGAAAGAAGGAAAGAAAGAAAGAAAGAAAGATTAGAAGCAAGGCTGGTGGACAAAAGAAGATTACACAACCTTTAGGAACTAGTGGAGAGGAGGGAAAGAAAGAAGGAAGAAACAGAAGAACAGAACCAAAACAACAACAACAACAAAGCTAGAAACAATAGTCACATACCTAAAAACAAGAATAAGAAAAAGAAACAATTTAAAAACTAAAATAAAAAGATTCTAAAAGGCAAAGCAAAGAAAAACAGAATGGAGTGTTCAGTTAGGGCATGTCTCTGCTCTCACTGATAAGCTAGGGGGGGGCGGACAGTGCTGCTCTGTGCTGACTGATCCCAGCAAGCCAGCAGTAGAATTATGGTGGCCGTAGATAATCCCAGCAAACCTAGAGCTTTAGTCCCATTGAAGTTCAGGCTGTGACTGATTTCTGGCTTTGAGGCTGAGGCCCAAGTCGTTCAGTCTGCAGCACTCACAGTGCTTCCTGTCAGCATGAATGTAGTTCCCTGCTGGTCTGAACTCAGTTCTCCAGCCTCCTACTGGCTCGAACTGGGTACTTCCCCCTGACACTGGGAGCCACCAGATGGAGTCAGCTCACAGGTTCTCTGGGTTCTGAGTTCAGCTGGCCCCTTTCCAAGCAAGATGCGACTGGCCAACCTCTCTCTCCTGGGGATGTCTGAACCTGAAAAACTCACTAGCCACTGCACTCCGCAGCATCCACTGGTCCATTCCACCAGTGAGTTTCTCCGCAGAGGCTTCTGGGGCCACCAGCAGTCACTATGCACCTGGAGACTCGAGCTACTCCTCACGTGCCATGAGCCAGGGCTCAGGGAGAAGTGCTGCTGCCACCTCCATTTTCTGCATTATGGTCCCTCTCTTTACTCTCCCCAAGGGCTCCAATTCTTGCTTCCAATCCTCACTGGGTCCCAGTGAGGATTCCATTTGCTTTTTCCTCCTCACGTTGCTATATTCCAGCATCTGCATTCCAAAAATTGGAGAGGCTGTTTCTCTGCTGTTCGCCATTCCCTATTGTGTTACTGTTTTGTCTTTGGGCACTTTTACATTTTCTGGCAGTATAAAGTACTCCATAGTTATCATTTATATCTCTGTCCTAGTCTGAGGGTTAGTCATTTCTCTAAGGAACATTATTCCTTTCAAAGAAGAAAAGACTCAGAAACCGAAATCGGGGACCCGGTGTGCTTTGTTACAGCATATTGCTCCTAAGTCCTTCACCTAGTGGTCTACACTGACACAGGCTTAGAAAAATGATGCTCCTCCAACGCTTTTCACAAGGAAGTGTACATATGTGTGTGCGCACTCATTTGTGTATAAATATTAGTAAGAGGCTCGTTATTTATAGTGTTGATAATATGCTCTTATATACAGTGTTGATAATATGCTCTTTTGCATATTATGCAAAACCTGAGTCATCCTGAGGCATCTATTTCCGCTCAATTACAGCATGGGTCGTTTTAGCCTCTTCCCCTTACCTCTTTCCTACCATTCTAATAGCCAGAAACCTGCTTCCCACCATTTATCACCCATTTGGTTAGCTGGCCAATTCCAGTATACTGTATGTGCTTACAGCGGTTCCAGGATCATTACGCAAATTATGAATGAAAACAACTTTATCCCCTACTGCACAGTGCTTACATACAATTCTTCGACCCTTTTGGTCTTGCAAACTCTACTCACTTCCAAACTTACTCAACTTTTAGTCTCCCACTGTCTTCAGTGAAGCTGTTTCATGCATTGATAAGATGTAGATTCATTTGCACAATCTCTATTCTATCTTGGCTCTTCCAATCTCTTAAATATAATTTTTTACACTGGGGATTGAACACAGGGCCACTGCACTGATCTTCATCCTAGTACTTGTCATTTTTTAATTTCAGATCAGGCCTTGGAAAGTTGCTAAGTTGCCCAGGCTGGGCTCAAATTTGCAGTCCTCCTGCCTCAGCCTCTCAGAGTGCTGGGACTGACAATGTATACCACTATACTCAGCCAATTTTTTAAAATTTGCATATACTTCGTATAAAATTGGCATTAACTCTTTGTCAAATGTAGTGCTGTGGGTTTTGACAAATACTTAATGTCTTACATTCACCATTACAGTATCATGCATCACTACACTTCCCCTGATCCACTCTCCTACATCATCTGGCAACCACTATTTATTATCTTAGTTTTATTTTTCCAAAAGTTATACATTCAAGATCATACAATATGTGACTTTGTTCAGACTGGTTTCTTTAATTGAGTAATATGGACTCATTCATGTCTTTTGTGACTTGATACCTCATTTCTTTCTCATTAAATAATATTCCATTGAATGGACATACCACAGTTTATTTTTCCATCTTGGTTCTTTCCAATTTTTAACAGTTATGGATAAAACTGCCATAAACATCCATGTGCAGGTTTTTGTGTAAAAATAAATTTTTAAAACAATTAGGTAAATGACTAGAGCATGATTTCTTTTTTATCTACTAAGACTATGTTTAGTTTTGTGAGAAACAACCATCCCTCTTTGTTTTTAACAAATCTTTCTGTGTTTCTGTTTTCTGGTAATTGTTTCATTCATCAGACTATAATCTTCTTGAAGGTGAGGACTGTGTATGTTTTGATCACTGATGTAGCCACAGCATCTAGTTTAAGAGCTTCTACATAATAGGTCCTTAATATTTGATGAATGAATGAATGAACAGGATTAAAGATTTAAAAATGTATTCTTAAGGGGCTGGAGGCATAGCTCAGTGATAGAACCCTTGCCTAGGCATGAGGTCCTGAGTTCAACTTCCAGTGCATAAAAATAAAAGTTTATATCTATATTTACATTTATATTGAGTCTTATACCTGCCTTAGGAATTTCAAAGTGGAATGCTTCTCTTATTTTAACACTGGCAGATAATTGGGATTGACAATGATGCTCCATAATAGCATAAATTCCATACCACACTAATCTCCCTTCCCGCAGTGCAAGATCCTTCTTTACATACATCATAAACATTACATATTTGCTAGTATTAAAATGGGTTTAGACAAAATGTGTAAATTTTGTTGTAAATAAGAGGAAAAAAAAGTGCTCCAAAGGATACAATTGCAAGTGTGCTTAGGGGTGTTAAATAGATGACCATATTAATGTTTTTGGTTGGATCATTGAACACAACTGTTTGCATTCTCACTGTTTGAATGTCCACTTTGTATGGTTTGATCCTGTGACTTGAACAACTATCTCTAAGATGATAATGTGTAATCTACTAACTGGTGATTTCTTACTGTTTTTTTTTTTTTTTTTTTTTTTTTGTAGTTCTGTATTACTTGTACCCTCACACTGCTTTGTTTTTTTCTCTTTTTCCTTTTAAATAAAAAAAACAAAAAAATAAAATGGGTTTAAAAAAAATAAAAATAAAATGGGTTTAGAACCAAATGATTAAGATTTCTGCTAAGTTTCTTCTGTCTCATAATAATATAGCTATTCACTCTCTGGAGTACGTAAAAAGGTGAATAGATATTTCTGTAGACTTTAGCATTTTCATGATATAATACACTGCAAATATCCATCATTTCATGTTTCGTTTCAATAATCCTCATTGGGCAATTAATAAATTTTCTTAACTTGATTGTACAGCCACACCTATAAAAGCATTACACCACACAGCAGTATAAAAAGTGTTTCTATAGCCTTACCAAATTTGCATCAGTTTTTCCTTTCAATTTAAGGAGATATTTGTACTTAGGGCTAATATAAGCCAAGAAAGCTTACTAAAACCAGATGCAAATACAGACTATAATCAGTACTTTCAAAATGAGCTTCATCTGCTTTTCACCTTCATAACACTTGCTTTTTCTTGGCCTTTAATAGAACAGGCAGTTCTATTATACATAAGCAGTTGTGCAAAGACTATATTTATACATCTGGGGTTCTCCAAAAGATAACTTTGCAAGCTTGTGTCCCTTTGTGGTTTGCAATGTCATAAGGCGCCTTGGTTTGAATGATTCATGCAATGACTATACTCTGAGCGGGAAACAAATTCAAAGTCCTACACATTTTCATCAGATGTCATTTGTGTGCATTTTTTCAGGCCTATTAAATATTTTTTTTTCTCCTCTAGTGAATGGCTCTGGTTGGATACTTGCTTTTGGGCATGGTTTTCAGAGAGCACCCCTGAAGATCCATTCCCCTGTCCCCTGACCAACTGTAGCTCAAGGATCACAAAATTAGCAAAGGGATTCCCCAAAGCTAGCATACCCAGGAGCTGGTAAAGCATGCAGACTGGACTGTTGGAATAAACCAGACAAGGTACAGGACTGAAAGTACTTCTGAAACATTTTAGTTTTAAGCACTTTGTTCTGCTGATTTGAAAAAACCTGGGAAGTTAAGTAATATTTATTAGGGAAGTAAGGGGATTGCTTAGAACTTTCCAGAAGTACTACAGTCCCCCCTCACCACAGACACTACAAAATCTCCCTCCCTCGTGCCGATTACTGGTTTCTGTAGTTGCAGTCATCGTGTAAAACTCAAGTTAACATTTTGACTGTGGGTTTGTCCTCAGCCTGGCTATGAGCAAGCACTCGGGTGTCACTGAACGCTGCCTAACTCCAGAGAAGAACAGGGGGGTTTAGCCCCCATTCTTCCTTCTCTGAGGGAACTTTTCAACTCCTGAAAGTAGAAAAACTACATCAGACACAAGGAGAAATCATCGTTAGGACAATTGGCTGGTAAAAGAACACAGAATGCCCAGTTCAGTCACATCTTCATATGGCTCTGCCTTCAGGAGCAGGTAGTTCTGTGTCATTTCAGGAGTAGCAAATAGAACAGAATTGTAATTTCAGCTGGTAACTGACATTTAGCTCTTCTACTGACATTTACACAGGAAAATGGACAGGGTTAACGTCTGTGAAGTCTTCAAGCTCCACAATATCTCCTTCTTCTGATAGCACGCCTGTCTATTGATAGTGACACACCAGGTGCAAATGACAGAAGAATCTTACCGTGTACACCCAGGCTTATACTGTCCTGCTGTCCAAGAAGCAAGTCGGCTGCAGACGGACTCGTCCAATTGCTTTTCGTGGTAGCTGCCTGAGTATGTTGTCACAGAAGAATCAGACCATCGTGTTTCATTCTGCCAAGATGCCCGGGCCTTGTGTCTGATCAGATCAAATTCTTGAGAGGTAACAGGGTTAAAGGGCAGGAGAATTTGTGGAGTCAAGAACAGGAATTGTGACATAGCGATGGAGGTGCGCTCTGAAGTACAAATTTTCAAGCCCTCTGCGTAATGAAGAATTCATTTCCTCCTAGTAGCAGGAAGCCATCCACAGGGCTCACCAAGCTTCGTAACTGACAGTTCAGAGTGCAGAAGCTTAACTCTGGCAGGTACCGTTGCCAAGCAACAGATCACAAAGTTCCATGAATGCGACCCTGCCCCCTCCACACACAAATTTTCAACAAGCACTTTTGTAAGTGAAATAACTTCTGGCCCGTGCTTTACAAAATATACTGCTTTGCAATTATGGTGAGAAATTGTCTACTATTCTGTCATAAAGACATGAGAGAGACTCCGGTGATGATGCTTTTAAGAAGTGGAAACGAGAGGTAGAAGGACAAGGCCAAGTGTCCATTTCCCCTAAAGACCCGGCCCCCCAGTGTCTGGGAAAAACCAGAGAGTGCTTGTGACATCAACAATAGCAGGCAACTCAACAGCTTCTCATGTCACAGAGCAATGGTGCTCCTGCTGGCTGACACTAGGGCCACCCTGGGAACCATGAAAATAAGTAGAAGCCCAGGACCCAATGCATAGATTTCAATTTAATTGACCAGAGGAGGGCCCAGACGTGGGTATTTTCTCGAAACTAAGGCCTAGAAGATTCTAAAGAGCAACCAGGGCTAAGAATTGAGGTCGTGGATATGCCACAGTGAATCTTTCTTTGATTTGATAGTTTTCTATGTTCTATTCATGAGATTCCCCCCCCCACACACACAATAATTCCTCTAGCTCTGCTAATGTGTTTGTTCTCTCACTTCTCCAGATTAACAAACAGTTCATTGGCAAATCAAAATTTAAAAGCTTCTTGGGCAATCATCCTTTCTCCTACCTCTTACCTCTTAGAGGAGTAGCCCTCTACCCTTAGTGGTCAGTCACGTAACCCGGGCAACCCTTTCGTGAGCACAGGTATGCGGACCTCACCCAGAGGAATTGGCTGGCACTTCTGTGGGTGGGAGCAACATCAGTGTTGGGCACAGATGGCTGGCTCAGCACAGTGGAGTGCATGGGATGTAAGGCTCGTGCCTATCAGAGCTGTGTGTGTGGAGCAAAGTCCAGGAATCTGCATTTTCATATTACTATCGATTCTGATGCAGTCAACCTTTGAATACAGAAGATGCCACTCTAGCAGTTGGATTTTAGGGTTTGCTGTTTCATTTTCAGTGCTAGAGATGGAAGCCAAGGCCTCCTGGATGCTAATTGATCGCTCAGCCACTGAACTACATCCCCAGCCGTCCTGAGCCTTTTAGAGTGAGGCTGATGCATTGCTGAAAATGATATTATTTACAAGTATTTCTTATATACTATCCTAGTTCATATTTCTTAAAATGGTGATATTTGGAGCATAAGCACTGTTGGCCTAGGGAAAAGATTAGATGGATGTCTGGAGTCTAATTGCCCTTTCTCATGGAGTTGAAGGGTCTTAGAAAGTTTAAATGAGGTAAAAAGAAGAAAGAGATAAAATGTGAGGAAGAAGAGAACTAGACATAGGCATAACTGTACTCTCAGTACTTCGGGAGGCTGAGGCAGGAGGACTGCAAAGTTAGCGCAGCCTGGGCATCAAACCAACTCAGAGAGACTCCGTCTCAAAAATGAAATAATAAATAAGGGCTGCTGGATGTAGCTCGGTGAATCAGTGGAGTCAGTCCCCAGTCCTGAAAAAAAGTGAAGGCAAAGAAAGAAAACTGGGCGGCCCAGCTCTTTTCAACCTCTCCAGTGTCAGGGGGCAGCTGCCTATGAACTTGTACCTCTATCTATTAAAGCAAAAATGGTAAATCTCCTTAAAACTCTGCTAGCAATTGCTACTATTTTGAGACAAAAAATAAATAGAACAAATTGTGAAAAGTTATTTGCAGAAAACATTTTTAAGTTTTCTTCTCGAATCATGTTCATAAAATGCAGTTCATAAAATGCAGACTGAAATAAGGTTTTTAAAAGATAAATGACAGTACAGGTGTGTCTTTCCCGTCTTCTATGTTTTGAAGGAAACATTACTTTTGTCTCCTCAAATCAAGTATGATCTCATTTAAACAACTATAACCTCAAGAATCAAAAGTAGTGACAATTTCTGTGAAAATGTTCCCTTTGATTTCAGATCTAATTGTGGATTTGTTCTTCAGTCTACTAGACGTGGAACTAATCTGTTACAGTCCATTGGACTTGCTGGGATACAGCTCAAGGCAGAGGGCACACCCAGCATGAGTGAGGCCTTGGATTTGACCTCAGCACTGGAACTAACGAAGGCACAAATGGACGGGCTGCTTGATTTGGCATCACAAGTGTGTAATGTCTAGGAATTCCGGAGGCCTCGAGCGCATTCTTCCTTCTCCCATTCCTTGCGTACCTCACTCTCATGGACACTGCTGTTCACACTGATCTATGGCTGGAGAGTTTACACTAAACACTTCCTTTCTGTAACTGGGTTCTAGTGGATTGTGCTTTTCAGGGCCTGGATGTGACCAAAATCTAATTAAGAGTCCTGTGACGACTCTGGATTGTGAGTGCAAATTAGTGAAAACACAGGCTAAGTGACCTCATACCAGATATCACCAGCAGGGGGTGCGCAAACCATCAGCTGCTAGGGAGCCTTCAGTGGCTGAACTGGCTGGTCTAAACGCAGCTGATGATTGTAATGAGTATTAATGAAAAGGGTTTCATGGTTCAGGAGGTGTAGAACAAATTGGGATAAACCTTCACACACACACACCCATTTAGTTTCCCAGAGCTTTCTTGCCAAAGGGTCTAGGACTGTGCAGCATCTTCTAAACTTGACCACAAAAACACCTTTCCTGGTGGAGGGCTCTGCAGACTGCAGTGATAAGGAACAGCCAGCCGCAGCAGAGGCCGGCTCCATAGATAGACAGGGCTTGGCCTGCAGTCTCTGAAATTTACTCTCTCCAGTCTAGAGCACCGACAGCTGAGAATAAGCTGTATTTTTTTTTTGAGCGAGAGAGAGAGAGATAGCATCAAGTACACATATATATACTTGACATGTGCACACCCTTGCAGCTGCGATCCATATTCAGCATTCTAGAAGGCTCTTCTTTGACCTTTTCCAATAAAATCACACGTGTGTGCATGCGCGCACACACACACACACACTCACAGCCTGACTCCACCACCAACACCACACAATACTTGTGACCACTATTTTAGCTGCTAGTTCCTAGGGCTACTATGTCATAGCATGAGTATGTCAGGCTGCATGCTGTGAAGACAGAAATTTACTGATGTCTTTGGAAGATGAAACCAGGTAAGTTAAAGACCAGGGAAGACTAAAGTACTTTGGAAAAAGAGAGAGGTTCCATCTCAGCCTGACTGTGTCTCTCCTTCCTGAAAGATGCCAGATTCTAGTACTTGGATGGGTGTAGCCAACACCTAAATTAGTATACACAGGGAATGTTAATAAATAATTGAGTTTTTCAGTAATGATGATAATAATTCCATGTTCTTGATTTTGGAGTAATTTCTCCAAGCTATTAACTATGATTTGGAAATTTCTTATAATTTATCGAAGAGTGTTAGCTGGCCACAGGAAACAAGAAACTGCAGTAAGAATAGATGGAAATAAACGAAGGGTAAAGAACACTGAACAGGAAAAGGAAATTGGTAAAACCAGGGAGAAGCCTAAAAGGAAAATTTTTCTTGGCTTTCCTGAAGTTTATTTTTGGATTTGTTTACTATTTGGAAACCAAAACTGATTATGAATAGTGCGTCTATTGTGGTTCTACTTTTGGTTAATAAAAAGTGTGTGAGTGTGCGTAGCTATAATTAGGAAGCAAGTCCTGGAAGGCTAGATATAAAATGCTAATACTTATTATAGCCTAGTGGAAACATAAATATGATTTTTATATTTCATACTCTTTTTCTGAGATTTTTTTTACAATGAAAACATGGAACATATAATCAGAGCCAAGATGCTGTTTTACCAAAACTAGAGCAAATTGAATGCATCCGAATATAATCAGCCAGTCAAATCTTGTCAAGACTGTCCTTAGGGTATGTGTTTACTGTTCCATAGTACAGGCCTTAAGGAAAAAGAAAACGAAGCAAAGAGATTGGAACCAGCTGAATCAAATATGATACTTCTTCACTTTTCTCTTCTTCTAGGGTCCTGTAATCAAAGGTAGGAGAAAATAAGGTACATAGCTCCGTGTGTGTGTGTGTGTGTGTGTGTGTGTGTATGTGTGTGTGTGTGTGTGTGTGTGTAATAGGACAGAGGAAAATGGGACAGACGATGGAAAAGATATGAGTGTCCACTAGGGAAAGGATCTGGCTGTACATGTGGACCTCAGAGTGAGGAATCGTGAGTGGCTGTCCCTTTGAGGGAAACTGTCTTTTCCTAGACACCCACAGTGAAGCACTCCACAAAGTGTATGCTGTATTCACAGACAAAAATGCACTTTGTAGCTGAAACAATGAACCATAATAATGGTCACGGCACCATGAGTTTTGCAGTAGACCCTCTGGAATAAACAGAATGTAGTAACGGTTAATTTCTTTACTTTACTCCGGGACAAGTCGGGGCAGTAGATTCACAAGTGGATTTGGCCCATCTTTCCTGTGCTATAAACTTAAACCATCGCTATTAATTCTTGGATCATAATTGCCATTTTACAGCCAGGTGTGGTGGCACACACCTGTAATCCCAGCACTTGGGAAGGAGGCTGAGGCAAGAGGACTGCCATGAGTTTGAGGCCAGCCTGAACTACATAAGCAAGTCCAAGGCCATCTTCCACTATACAGTGAGACCTTGCCTCAAAAACAAACAAGCAAACAAACCATCTAACACACAACATTGATTATTACAATAATCAAATGTTATCCAGAAAGGCTTTTTTAAAAAATCTTTTTTGAGACAGGGTCTCACTAGGCCATTCAGGCTGGCCTTGGGTCCAGGCTGGCCTTGAACTTGCCTCAGCTTCCTTCCCAAGTGCTGGGATAACAGGAGTATACCACCACACCCGGCATCAGGAGGGTATCTTAAAAGGTATTTCTTGATAGGATTATTTCCAAAAGATGAGAAGTATAAAACAAAAAGCGGCCTTTATTCTGAGAACATGGAGACAGATGACCGGCACCCCCCACCGCTGGCATCTGGCCGGTGGACACATGGTGTGGGGGCCTGTAAATAGCCTCAGTTTGGGGTGGAACCTAAGACAGGCATTAGGGATGCACAGGTAGCCCATTGGTCCTAGGTTTGGTGCCATATGTAAAATTCTAGGGGCAGGAAGATGGCGTCACAGGTAAATTCCTAGGGGCGGGGGAGATAGGGGCTTCCTGCTTCCGGTTGAGGCTTTCCTGGCTACAGTGTCCTGTCTGGGCCAAAACCCTTTCATTGCTAAATTGTG